AAATAACGTCAAAATGTTTTGATATTTGTCTTGAGTGACTTTATTTATGACCCTATGACCCAAATCAGGAATTGTTAATGCCTGATGTGTAACAAACGTAACCGGCCACGCTGTCGACAACCAACATTTGTTTACGCAATCATTCATAACTGATAGTGTATACACCGCTTTATTATTGATGCCCAACTAAACATAATAGGTTCGTTCCCGTACTTTTTGATAGTAAAGCTATTAAAAGAGCGAACTATCAAAAATTACTCTCACATACAAGATTTGCGCAAAAAGTAAAGGAACGAAAAATAGTTAAAACACGAAGAAGCGTCAAAATCAAAAATTTCATTTGTTAAGGACAAAAAAGACTACAGAAACCTAATGCACAAAAAAAAAACAAAAAGTTAAACGACGTCCATTGCGTGATTTTGATAATATAAGTATTTTTTGTTAATTTTTTTATTTGTATAATTTAGAGGAAAGTCTTATCGAATATTTGGAAGTGTGCGTCTGTGCGTGTGTCCTATTTGTTGAAGCCCTAACTTTCATATGTTTTATTTCGGACTGTATATCTCTGGCAATCAAATGTCAAATTCATAATTTACTACATTTACTATTTCGTGCTAGGCCAAATTGGTCTTGCAGAAAATAGGAGAAGAGAACGCCATTTTGGTTTTAACTCTCTTAAATTTAACTTAAATTTTTCCTACATTTCGGCGTAAGGAAACGCTTTTATAGCAACAATTACAAAACTAGTACAATATAGTACTATATTGCAGGTTTGGGAACACAGCTAAGGTCTCTATAAGTCGATTGTTAATCTAATAAGCAAATAGTTATCGTTATCGAGTTTCTCCGTGGTATTTTCTTGTGCAATTCAGTTTCATTGTGGGTCATTTATATGTCAAAAATACCTTAAAAAATAAGCCGATTCAAAAAAATTATGTCCCTGAACCTGCAAGAATATACATTTTTTATGATAACAATTTTCCCTTTATGATATGGAATAAATAAATACAGGAACGGGTTACTTTTTTTAATTAATAGTTGGTCTGTTCCCGTACTGCAAGAACCTACTATTTTTTACAATTTATTTCGATATCATAAAGGAAAAAATGGTTGTCGTAGTAAAAAATAGTAGATTCTTGCAGTACGGGAACAGACCAAGTATGAATGCATGTGTATGCGCATGGTACAATAATACAATAATCAACTCTGTAGGTAATGGCTTCTTCTGTCAAATAAAACATGCAATAAGTGGTTGTGAATATTTGACATTTTTCGATACTTAAAATGCGAAAAATTAATGAAAGTTTATAATTGCTTCCCAAAATTCAGTAAGGAATACCATGGATAACATATATACCATCCATAACAAAGTAATAACATCCAAACGAACGTGGAAAAATCATAATAATAACAATAACATTTTTTCTTTTTGATGTCGAAAAAACTTCAAAAATCGACGAGATCGATTTGGCAAATTAGTCAAAATAATACATATATGATATTAGGAAAAATGCGAAATGTAGCATGAATAAGGCGGAGAATTAATAATTCTCGAGGAACTAGAACTTTTGCAGGGTTAAAACGGCATGTACATTCGAACTTTTTACCGGGTTAACCATATGAGGATTTATTTGACATATATACAAAGGAATTGGCAAAAAAACCCACTGGGTTAACGAAATCCGTTTAAATGTAAACGTACTATAACTTTCTTTATGAGGATTTATTTGACAGATATGTAAAGGAATTGACGATTAAAACCCACTGGATTAACACAATCCTATAGAACCTGTTTTGACACTTCTGCAACTAGAAATATTGTAAACAAACAAAAAATTGAATAGAATATTTTAGAAAAACCAATTTTAAGTAATGATAAGCTCATTGGAACTATTTTTTGATGATGAAAATGATGTGCAAGGCGTATCATCTATTAGAAGGCATTTAGAGATAAATCCAATACATTACAACTACCATCCGTACTGAGAGTAGATGTTTATGTTTAGAGAAATGTTCAATCAACTGCTCATTTTAGCTTTAAGGCGTATTTTCGGCTACCAAAAGATGCCGTTGTGTACTTAGTTGGAGCATTAAACCCTGGTTTCCGAAAATCCCGACGGTTAACAGCAATTCCTCATCTGTGCAACTGTGTGCAGCTCTGAGGTTTTTTTTTGCGGATGCAATGGCTTCAACCTTGGCTCAATCCACAATGTCGGTGGATTTGACCGAAGTTGTCCGGCTAATAGAAGAATAAGTTTAAAATTTGGATTGTTTCCAAACTAACAGAGGAGGAAAAAGGGGAAGAATAATTTTTTTTATTTGAAAACAAAGTTTCCGGGTGTTGTCGGATTTATAGATGGCATACACGTACATATCATGGTCCCAAAAGAAGATGTTGCCATTGTGTAGTAAGTTTAACCATTATTCCAACCAATTTTCAGTTCTTATTGCTAAACACGACTAAACAGCAACCAGAAATAATTGGTTGCCGAAAAATTCTATTTGAAGCAACTGAAGTTGACAACAGTTGCCGTCCATAATTCAAATTTGGCAATTTAGTAATATTGTAATATACAGCCTAATTCTGGAATTAGCTAGGGAGATATCTCGCATGTAAAAAAATTTCGCTTTCACATTCTCGCCTTATTCTGAATGAATAGGGAGATGCAGAAAATGCGAGATGCGGATTCGAGTTTTCGAAAATGGTGGTTGAAAAAAAGATTCGTGTTGCCATATTGTAATTTAAGCTGTAATGTGTGTTACCATATTGTAATTTAAGTTGCAATGTGTTTTGCCCCGTTGTAATTTAATTGTGTAATATTTTTCAATCTTTTATTTATTGATTTTTTTATTTAAAATTGTTATTTAAACTTTATAACAATACAAATGTGAAATATCAAGAATCCGCTGTATAAATGCTTTGTAATTAAAAGAAAATAAATTAAAGTTTGAAATTATGGCATGTGAAACAGCTGTTCATTGTTTTGATGAAATTTGTTGCAACAACTACAATAGATTACAAATAAAAGAACATTTTTTTATGATGGCAAAAACACAACGAATAATAGGAAGAAATCTGCGATTGAATTAATTAATTCACAGTTTATTATTTTACTACATAATTTTGTGCCTTTTTATTTAATTCCGATATTTTATCTCCCCAAATTCTTAAAGTGGGCAGTTATATTATGATTTGCTCATACTCCTTTATTTTTTCCTTCAAATCATGCAAAAGATAATTTTGAAAAAAAGCCTTATTTTTGTTCTCTCATAATTTTTTTTTAAGCTTTTCACTGTTGTGAGACAGATAGACAGATTCTCACCCAAAATGTCTGAATTTCGCATCAAAAATGCATCAAACTCAATAGGATTTCCAATGGCATTTTATTTGTTGTTTTCCAGTTAAAAAAAATTTGCATACTATCATTTATAAAATTCTAAATCATCATAGAATAAGTATAGTGTAAATATTTTTCATAAAAATATTTATTACTTATGTTTTTGTAGTCAGCTCCCTTTGAATTTATTAGCGAAAAATTTCGCATAAAATTTCATCTCATTCTCCTACTCCCTGTAATCCAGAATACCTAATTTTTCCGCTTTGAACTTCATTCAGAATAAGGCGAAAGCGAGAATACGAAAAAATTCACAGGAAAATGTTGTTCAGAATAAGTCGAAGGGGAAGAGCGAATAAATTCACGTGGAATTGACATCCAGGATAAGGTGATAATTTGTCGACAGATAAAACACTTGTTACTATATTTTATATCGATTTTCAATAATTCAATTTTAAATGTAGAAAAAAAATCAAGCTAAATAGTTAAAGTGGATTTTAAAACTTACCACTGGTCCTATTATTAAATCATCATTTATGTAGCTTAACAATATATATGTATAGAAATCACAAACAATTGTTTGTAGTAAATCGAAAGGGGAGAGTGAGAAAATTCCCGGGGAATTGACTAGAAGCTTTTCAGTTGTTTTCATCAATCTACGGAATGATCTACCTTCAGAACTATTTGGGCTTTCGTTACTAATATTTTAATATAACTTATCGAGAAATAAAACACTTGTGACTATATTGTATATAGATTTTGGTTTAATTTTATTTTAAATATTTGAGAAGAAAATATTGCATTTTATTTATATCGTATGAAATTTTTTTTATTGTATTAATATAAATACATTAAATTTGTAATTCAAAATAGATAAAAATAAAACATACTAAATATGTAAGTATGTAAATTTATATATAAAGCACAATATTGACAATTGATCTTTGCAAAGATCAAAGTAAATTTTATGTAAATCTTTTGAAAAAATATGTTTTTTTTTATTTAATCATATTTCTTTAGCTATGTTCGGCGTTAGGTTTCCCTGCTGATAAGAAAAATTGGGAGTGGGACTGAGTATTTTCGGTTTATTTGGGGTTGGGAATTCACTACCAATTTTAATTCAATAAATACTACTTAGTTGTATATATGATGGGAAATATAATAATTATAAATATTTTTTTTATATTGTTGTTGTTATTAATTTGTTTAATTGAAACATACATAAGATTTATATTATAATAAGTCTTAAGACACATACACTGCCAATTGAGGTGGCGGAGAGAGAACAAACTCAAACCTTATGGTAACTTATGGCTTCCAGAGCAAAAGAAAAAATTTGTTAGCATCCTTTCCACAGTAATGGAATATTGGCCATTTGAAAAATTTGAGAAATCCGTTAGCATTTTCTACACAAAACTAAATTTGCTTAAGTAATTTCCCTGATATGCGTGATGTGATGATAGAGAGGTTAATATTTTCCTTTTTTTTTGTTTTTGTATGAAATTTGTAAACAAGACGACAAAATATATATTGTATGTATATTTTTATGAAGTACTATTACTTTGCATTTTGAGGTCTGTCTGCTGCTGACTGCCTGTGTATCAAATTTTGATTCATATTCCTGCCGACAATTTCTTCAATCTCCAATACATTGGAATCCGGGGTTCAATGGAAAACATCCATAAAGGGGAAGTGGGCTTGATCGGGTTCAAGTAAATCGATTAAGTAGCATACGGTGCCGGCGACCCCCTCGTACAAACTATGAGGACGATCTGGGGTGCGTGCCCTTAACTTGAATTCGGCATTGCTTAGCAATTCCATAAATTTAATGGCACGATAGAAGTACTTGGGATCATTTGTTAGACGGTAGAGTAATAAGAACACATAGCCATTGCCGGCCACACCATGGCAAATGCCAGGGCCCTTACGTAGAAATCCCTTTTTCCACACCAAATCGGCTGCCTTTTTCAAAGACTGTAAATATTTGTCCTCTTTGAAAATCAAATACGCCTTGGCAAACAGATACACCGCCCCGGGGGCACCATGACACCAGTGGACTAATCTCTTCTCACGACCACTACGTAAATCTTCTAAGGCCACGGGGAAATTACCCTCCTCATCCTGCAGCATTAAATAGAAATCAATGGACTTCTTGATATCTCTCAACTCAGCCGATGGTGCCGATATGGGGTCACTGCTGAACCATGGACTATCCAATAACATATGCAATATGGAGCATAGGCCATGAGCGGCACCCAAATATTCAGTACCATGATACTGATACATAAGCGGCAAGGGAGCATTTGTCATTTTGGAATATTCCCGGCCACTGGCTATAACCATTTGACAAATGGAAATAACATCGTCATCGGTGATTTTCTTCTCGGGCAAAACATCATTCAGCCAATAGCAACCGGACAAGTAGCCAGCTCTTCCCACCAACACCTCATCACAGCCATATTTGGTGTGTAAGTGCTCCTTGCTGGGTGCAATGCCGGCCTTGAAATTTGTTAAATCATCCGACAGATCCTGAACCAACTTCAGATCCTGGGAAATTACCGCAGACACGGCGTAGATGCCAGCATTGCCGCATAAAAACGAATATCGTTCCTCCCGCCGCTTTTTGTAACGGTCTGCATTTGCCTTGGCATTACGTATAAAGGCATGGGCATGCTCCAGTGAGGCTGGATACAAATCATGACACTGATTCGATCTGGACATTTTCCAGAACATATAGGCAATACCAGCATTGCCCACATACAAATCGCCACGATTATCCTCATCATCACAGCCGGGGCGACAATGTTCCAGAATAGCATCCACATAGGTACATATTAAATTCTTGACATGCTCCTCGTCCAAATTTATAGGCGTTGTTTGTTTATTAACATAATCGGGATAAGGATTTTCCAAATAACGTTTCTCCATTTCGCTGGGATGCTGCGAACTGCGATTATCACCTGATTCTGTAAAACAGGCAAACACACAAAAAATGAAAGGATACAGGATTTAATGGCTTATTTGACATTGACATCGTGTTCTCTGCTAAAGACTGTGTATATGTGTTGTTGTTTGTGTTGTCGTTGTCCTGTCTAGTCCTTGTCGATTTGTGAGTGGTAGGTCAATTACAGGGTGCGGTCTACTACTATTTAAATATGCTAAAGGATATTCTGGCATCCTTACCCGGTCTATTGGTTTGAATGGCTCTTGTGGCCGGTATAAATAATTTCCGCAAGTCCTTCTGCAATGAAAAAGACGTAAATTAAGTAATTTTTTTGGCCGTAGTAATAACACCTCCTTGAGAGAGTATTTTCGTTCGTTCGGTTGCCGTAAGTTCAGTGAAGCCTCTTTACTGAATGAATCGAACCGACCGAACTTAAAAGCGTCTATATGCAACGAATATAGGTAATAAGGGAGGACAGGTGATAAAATACGAACTCGAAGCAAATTGGCAAAAAGCCGTATTGTTTACGAATGAGATATATGGAGGAATGCCAATCAGCTGATGCTGATCTGGGGAAGGTGATGGTACACGGGACCTTTTTTTAAGCTCTCAGTACCTTGTCATTGGGGAAAAAGTATCAGTGTTTTTTTTTAAATTATAGGGATGTCGATTTTTATCAGTTAATTAAAGATAGGAGATTTTTAGTATTCCACTCAGGGTACCGACTGTAGTCGAACGGAGCCTTGTTGATACATGGGCGCTTTAGTAAGTTTTTCAGACTAAGTTACCAATTCCTTGCTTTGGTAAGAGCCAATAGTCATGGTCGATCTCAAACCCTCAAGCTTAATTACCAAGTTCTTGCTATGCGAAGAGGTTATGCTATGGTTGACTGATGCAGATGTTGCTGCCTTGACATCCTCTGTCGAGAATTTTACAAGCGCAATCCGTTTCCAATCCAATGGTGTATACGATTCGTATAGCAGTACTCAACAACAACAAGCGCGAGCTCATAGACTACCAATATTCCCCCCAACGACATCGAACACCGCTACCTCCACTACAGATAATTCTATTTCAAATCAAGATCCCATTACGCTTGACGAAAGAAATCCTAGCTAGAAGAGTCAATCACACCCTCTCTACAATCGCCTTGGTCAGGAAACCAAAGCAAGCAGCAGTACTTCGTGCATTTAACGACTGTGTGGGTCTTCTAGCACCATGTTGTTGATCATCAGAGGACCTCATCGTTTTTACAGCCGTGGGCTGTTTTGGCTCCCGGAGTTGCAACTGCCACAGAGGTTGACCCAGTTGTCGCGAACACCTGCTTCGTGTTCGCCACCTTTGGTTTATCCACCAACAACTGCCCAATTGTCATAACCTGTGATTTCGGTTTCGACATTTCGGCAGTGGGCGTATTTACAGAAGGAGGTTGTGCCTTATCAACTTTTCTGGAGGCCTTTCTACGCTTACCTTACCCTTACCTTCAGTTGCTTTGGATGATGATGCCAGGGATTTCACAGCGCTCAAGTTTCCCTTGGGGGGAGCTGAAGGCTCAGGCGTCCTAGCCACTATCGCCCTAGTTGTGCTCGGGCCACGCACAGTTTTCTCCTCATTTGATGGGGATACCGTGAAAGTCTTCGCATGTGATGTAGGATTTCTATCAATTAACAACTCTCCCCAAGGACCCGCCGATTGTCTGCGATTGTTTATATGATATTCAAAGCTACCCAAAGAATAATAAAGTCCTTGGAAATGGATATTTAAAGGTGTGTTTTGTTTGTCAGAATTTTGAAGGATCATAGGCATTAAAACGGGCATTTTCTCAGCAAATTCTAATAATCATGAGAAAATACAGATGTCCAAGCGGAACTTTAGAGGTCAATACGAACAGAAATACGAATTTTCACAAGAAATAATTTATACCATTGTAATCAGGGCCTCAAGAATAACCTATGATAAAAATAGTTCCACGACCAGTCCCTAAACTATTCTTGTTCCGATATTTGATATATTCTTGAAAATAGAACGTCCTGTCAAAATTATTTTTACGGTGCTGTAACTGTACTCAAATGATCTGATCAGGGATTCAGTGCTGTTTAATACTTTACATCAACAGGAAGTTATTAAGAAAATTGCCGAACATTATCCTATTATCATAGAAGCTTGCAGTACGGGAACAAAAAATTAGAAAGGGAAATCGAATAACATTTCCGCTTTATCGATGTTAGCCCTTGTCATCGATTGTGTGCCAGCTCTAATGCCATCTCCCTCATTCGTAAACAATACCGTTTTCTGTCATTCTGTTTCACGCTCGTTTTTATCACCAATTTTCTACTTCCTCCCTTTATTCGAAAGAAAACAAAAGCGATTTTGCAACTCATTTGCAAGAAGTAAAAAACAAATCATCCAACAAAGAAGAAAAGCTACGTAAAATGCCATCCATTTACGCTGGTCTACATTTACCAAATAAACCCGATGAATTTCTAACACTGGATCACATAGATCTTGACAAAAATGTACTCCATCTGAAACAGCAAATTGCCGAGAAGTGTCAATTCCAGGCGGAAAATCTTGAGGTGATCTATGACGGTTTACCATTGACAGATGAGGAGAAGCTAAGCGAAACCCTGAAGCCGGGTGCCAGTACCATACATACGGTGCATTGTTTCCAAAAGACAAAGAAATATACCCCATATGTTCCATCTGAGAAGCTAAAGGATGCTGTCGACACGGCCCAATCATTGTTTTATACTATAGGCAACATACAAATTAATGTCAGCTGCCGTGTGAATATATTGCAAAAAATCCTCGCAGAATATCCGGAATTTCGTAGAAATTCCGCTGCCTTGGCATTGATCAGAGATTCGGTGCTGTTTAATACTCTACATCAACCCGAAGTGATTAGGAAAATTGCCGAACATTATCCTATTATCATAGAAGCGGCACCATTTATTGTTAGTACGGTGCGTAAGGAATTGGCACGTAATGGTTCGTCGTCAAAGTTCTCCGAACCGGCAACAGATTCGACAAATTCCTCCGAAGAAGAAAACTCGGTTGGCAGTAATGAAAGAGGCAGCCGTGATGATGATAGAACCAGCAGTGGACGCAGCCAATCTGAGAATGCCCGGATACGTATGATAAGTCGTCAACAGTTGCAGGCTGCATTGGCCCAAATTAGTTCCGGTTCGGCAAATTCTCTATCGAATATTGCCGCGAGAAATAGTGAAACATCTGTGGCCGCATCGGCATCAGAAACAACTTCGACACCATTATCCAGTTCGGCAAGTGGTGAACGTATTTCGGCAGATGTTTTGCGTAATGAGTTACAGAGAGCATTGGATACATTGGTCCAACCAATGGATACGACAGAACAACAGGCAGTCAACACTTCGGTTACAGATGATGGAGATATACCATCGGCATTGAGAACACATCCCTATGCCGAACAATTGCGGACAATGCAACAAATGGGATTTTTGAATCATGAAGAAAATTTGAATTTCCTTAATTTGGCCAATGGAAATATTGAACAGGCTGTTAATTTGTTAATGGCTGCAATGATGTAAACAAGGGTATAAAACAAACATGACTGAAGTTACATTTTTTTTGATATACTACAATCTAATAAAAATTATGTTTTCCATACTATTTGGAGATGCGAACGAATAAGTAATTTATAAGAAACAAAAAACAATAACAAATTATTAACAAAAATGTGAAATGGGGTTATTATTCTAGGGGTCTATATATACACATATATAAAAAATAGGTTCGTTCTTTTACTCAAGAATAGGTTCGTTCGTTTACCCAAAAGTCCAGTAAAAAAGTGTAAATTGAGAGAGTAGATTTGACGGTTGTGTTACTGAGTATGTATTTGCAAATTCTTACAAGGAAAAATTTACTCAGCAAGAATTTTCTTGTACCATAAGCTGATTGATGTAATCAGCTTTTTTGTAAACAAATAACAAAACTAAAGCAAATTGATTATTTAAACACTAAAATGAGTGAAGAAAACGCAAGTATTTAAAAACAACAATATTTTCAAATAAAAATTCTGCTTTCTTTGTTTAGGCCAAATTGTTTATTGTTTTAATCAGCTGTTTCGATACAATCTTTTCATTGGATGTTGTTCGTTTACTTTTTACAGCATTCTCTCTTGAGAACGAAAAATTCTTATTTTACTCTCTGCAAATTCTTACTGAGTAAATGTTACTGTGAAAGTAAACGAACGAACCCAATATTGTCTGGAATTGGGTTATTTATGACTCAGTCCCAGCTGGTCATCTGTCAATGATTAATTCCCTCTGTTTGTAAAGCATCCCTAAATGGCTCCCTTTCAGTTTTCTACAAAGATTACCTGTAAAACTGTAAAAACTCCCTTCGGGTCGTCCATAAAACTCTGTGTATGCACGTCTATAAAGTCTCCATTCTGGGTGTCTATAAAGCCTCCATTGTGGTTGTCTAGAAAGACTCCCTTCTGGTCGTCTATACAGTCCCTCTTCTGGGCGTCTATAATGACTACTTCGGGTCATCTATAAATACTTCCTTTTGTGGTCTATAAATACTCCCTTTTGGTCGTCTAAAAATACTCCCTTTGGTTATCTATAAATACTCCCTTTTTGTAGTCTATAAAGACTTCCTTCTAGTCGTCTATAAAAACTTCCTCATGGTCGTCTAGAAAGACTCCCTTCTGGTCGTCTATAAAGACTCTCCTCCAGCCGTGCATAAGGACTGTTTCTGGTCGTCTATAAAGACTCCCTTTTGGTCGACTATAAACTCCATTTTGGTCATCTATAAAGACTCCCTTTGATCATCCATAAAGACTACCTTTTGGTCGTCGTTGGTCGTCAAAAAGACTATAAAGACTTCATTTTGGTCATCTATAAAGAATCCCTTTTGGTCGTCTATAAGACTCATTTTTGGTTGTCTATCAAGTCCCCTTTTGGTCGACTAGAAAGGCTCCGTCTGGTCGACTATAAAGACTCCCTTTTGGTCATCTATAAAGACTCCTAATTGGTCGACTATAGAGACTCCCTTTTGATTATCCATAAAGACTCCCTTTTGGTCGTCTGTAAGACTCCATTTTGGTTGTCTATGAAGTCCCCTTTTGGTCGTCTAGAAAGGCTTCCTTCTGATCGTCTATAAAGACTTCTTTTTGGTCGTCTATTAGGACTCCCTTATGGTCGTTAATAAATACACCCTTTTAATCGTCTGTAAAGACTCCCTTTTGGTCATCTGAAAAGACTCATTCCTCATGAAGACTCCCTTCCGGTCGACTATAGACGCCCTTCTGATCATCCCAAACGGCATAAACAATTAAAAAGGTCGAGGTTAGATTTCAATAATTTATTTTCAGATTAATATATAATAACTACAACTATAATTTATATCAATAAGCCATATAAAGCTCAAGATAAATCACTCAGTGCGCTAAAATATTCTTCAAACATCGTTAAAATATTTCGTTCGAAAGAAAAAGCAAAAAACAATAAATTTACTTGCGGCGATTACCGCCACCGCCAGCCAAAATCATTGCAATGCGAATGAAAATATTCAAGGCATCCATGTAAATTGAGAGGCTCCTGAAAGGGTAAAGGAAAATATTATACATAACAATACAAAATAGATATTACAAATCACGGATTATATAGCTGATGTCTACAATCCGACATTCCTAAAACAAAGAAACCCAAATACTTACGCATTAATAGGATCAAATGGCTGCATGGAGTATTGGGGATATACCTCAGCTTTGCGTACAATACGTTGTGTATCATAGAGCAAGAAGCCGCTGAACAAAATCAAGCCACCATATAAGGACAAGGAAGCCAAACCTAAAATCATCATAAGAAAATGTCATTTTATTATTTTTTTTAATTCAATTCAAAATAAATTATTTTCAATAATTACCTGCTCCCAAAGCTGTGGTTGGTGGCAACCAGATGCCAGCCAACGATGAAGCCATTACCAAGCCAAGACCAATGGCCAGTGGGCCACCCATATATAAGAATTTATCACTTGGAGCACAAACGGCCACAGTGGATAGACCACCGACAACACCACCGGTATAAATAGCGGCACGTGTTAGCAAAGGACCACCCAAGAAGCATAATGGAGCAATAACACCGCCCAAAACAGCACAATGTACTAACCAGGACAATTGTTTGGGACCCAAACCCTCTTTATATTGTATAGATTGTGTCATGGCACCCGTACCAATAACCAAGGCAAATGTGGCCAATGTTGACTAAAATGAAGGATATGGGATGGACAACATATATGACAATCAGGCAACAACTAGGGAAATTTTTAATTTACTTACCAACCACCCACCACGTGTTGCTAAGTCCAGAAGGCGTGGTGAACGGAAAACAGCAGCTGCTGAGAGAGCGGTAAGTACACAGGATGCACCAAAGTAGCCATAGGTGGTGTGCAAGCGATCCCTCACATATTGGGGCCAGAGGCTGTAAGAAGTAAAATGTGTATAGGTAATTAGTAGGAGAAATATAAATTCAGATTAGAGATTGGAGAAATAAAATTTATCTATAAATAATATTCTCCTTTAAGTGCCTATAAAATAGCGTTTTTTTAATATCTGACAGAGGACCACGTAGGGATGTTCAAAAATATTGATATGAAGTCGTATAGACATATAGTCCAAAGACTGTCTAACCTTCAGAATGGTTTATGATCACAAAATATTTCAGAGGTCATAAAGATCCTCTTAAGACTCCCTTATTTTTAACTACAGAACTTCCTTATGATGGTCTAAAAAGCTTTCCTTCTGGTTCTTTAAAGAGACTCTTCTATAAGACTCTCTATAAAGCCTCCCTTCTGGTGGTCTATAAAGCCTCCTTTCTGGTCGTTATAAATACTCCCTTCTGGTCGTCTATAAAGACTCCCTTCTGGTTGTCCATAAAGACTTCCTTCTTATCGCCCATAAAGACTTCCTTCTTATCGCCCATAAAGACTTCCTTCTTATCGCCCATAAAGACTCCCTTCTGGTCGTCTATAAAGACTCCCTTCTGGTCGTCTATAAAGACTCCCTTCTGGTCGTCTATAAAGACTCCCTTCTGGTCGTCTATAAAGACTCCCTTCTGGTCGTCTATAAAGACTCCCTTCTGGTCGTCTATAAAGACTCCCTTCTGGTCGTCTATAAAGACTCTCTTCTGGTCGTCTATAAAGACTGTCTTCTGGTTGTCTATAAAGACTCTCTTCTGGTCGTCCATAAAGACTGTCTTCTGGTCGTCTATAAAGACTCTCTTCTGGTCGTCTATAAGGACTACCTTATGGTCGTCTATAAGGACTCCCTTATGGTCGTCTATAAAGACTCCCTTCTGGTCGTCTATAAAGACTCCTTCTGGTCGTCTATAAAGACTCCCTTCAGCTCGTCTATAAAGACTTCCTTCTGGTCGTCTATAAAGACTTCCTTCTGGTCGTCTATAAAGACTCCCTTCTGGTCGTCTATAAAAACTCCCTTCTCTCTTTTGGTCTGTCTTTCGGGTTGTATAAAAATCTTTTCTCAGATTCAGACGCCTTCAATGGCTCCTATAAGGAGTTTGTTTGATAATCTCTTCAGAACATCGAATAAATATCACTTCAATTCGGATCTACAAAATCAATCTTCAGCTCTTCGATATTTTTCTGGATTCCACTTTCTTAATGTCATTATTTCTCGTACACACACTTACATTGAGTTATTTTGAATACTGGCCTCGCTGCTTAAACCCAGACCATAGTAACACAATGCACCCAGACCGACACCAGCAGCACCGGCGGCAGCGCCTTTACCCAAGGAGTAAGCTAAAAACAAATAAAAACCACAGTAAAAAATCCACAATCTCCAAACAAATCGACTACCCTCTTACCATTAGCCGATGGTGGAGCCATCAAACGTTCCTTCAAAGTTGGACCACGGGTACGCACTTCACCGCGCACAATGTGATTTTCACGTGGACTACGGGCATAATTGCGCACCAGAACATTATTGTTGCTGGGCTTAATCAATCGTGGAGCCAACAACACCTGCTTGGCTGAAGTTGAAATATTGGTGGTCACCAAACGACCCGGCAATGATGATGCAAGTCGCAACAACATATTGTGAAATTCGAATTCTGCAAAAAATATATTAATATTTGTTTTAAATAGTATACAGCTGTTAATGTTATTTAATGTGCAAGGAAGTGAGTTTGAAATTCTATTTTTTTATATTTTACTTACATATTATTTTTTTGAATTTTTTTATTTATTTTTTGTTAAGACTGTTTCGCAAAGTTCTTTCTCACTTGTGATTTTGTTCTGGACTTTTCACCGAATTATAAGAAAAAATTTAAAAACGTTCCACATGCTAACGAATGGGAGGAGAAGACAAAATGCCGATAAAGATTGAACTCAAAGTGTATACCGAATATTACGAATGAGGTGGAGACTAAATGGAAATCGTGTTGTTTACACACATACATTCACAGCACAGTACAATGCCATGCAAACTGAATGGTTAACATAATGACAAAATAAAACCAAGAACAGCTGATTAAAAAATTACTGCCAAAATTGGTGTTGCCACTTCATGCGTAATTACGAATATTGCGTATATTTCGTATAAATTCGTTCGAAAAATAAAGAAATTATAATTACAAATAAAAATAATAAAAAAATAAGTTAATTAATTTCTGCTTCAAAATTGTTGCATCAGCGAACATTCTACTGGATGTTGTTTTTTGTATTTTTATAAATAAAATTCAAAAATATAGAAAAAAAAACAGAAAATCCATGGTATAATTATTACAATTTTATTTATTTGTTTAATTCATTCCTGTAATACAAGCCACCAAGGCCAAAACATTACATAGCTGATAACTCGTCCGAGTAACATCAAAATGAATAAAAAAGAAATAATAAGAAAGAGATAGTTAATATAAAAAATATCAATTAAAAAAATATATGGCCCCCACCATAATATAAGAATAATATATTAATCAATATATAAGTTTGCTAAATCTTGCTTATGCACAAAAAATTATTCACTTCTCCTAAAAGTATGCTTCAAAATACTTTACAATTCAAAACAACTGATGGAAAATTTTAAATTTATAATGAATATTACTATATTTTAAAACAGTACAGTTTTTATACATTTCCTCGTCCATTTTAATGTTCAATGGTACAAAATAAAATTCACAAAACAATAAATTTTGTTTAAAAACAGTTTTGTGGTTGGTTTAAAAAACCGCTGATTAACAAGAAATTTGTTACTGAGTAAAATTTTGTTGTAAGAATATTTAATATTCTGCTAGTAATATATATTCTTTGGAACTGCTTCTCTCTCAAATCACTCTATTTTATTGGACTTTTGGGTAAAGAAAACATTAAAAAATTAATTTTTGTACAAATTATGAGCTTTTTTAATATGGAGAAGATGCTGTTATGAAACCAGAGAAATGTGTATATATACGTAAAGAAATAGCAGCTGATTTCATTTCAATTTAATACTAGTCTGAACAACTAGGATTTCATATCACTTCTCCTAAAAGTATGCTGCAAAACTGTTAATAAATAAATTTAAAGTTATAATTCATATTTATAATTTATGCATTTTAGATCTAATGGTTAAAATATTGATTTGGAGAACAAATAACCGCTGATGAATTAACTTATATCATATTGAACATGATACTAGCATAGTGCCCGCTACCTCGTATACGGAAATGAAATACAAAACAAATAATATTTTATATGGAAATCGTAAATACTGCATAATTCCACCTTTATTCCTGCATTTAATATCATGTTTATTACCATTTAGTACTTTTCGCACAAATAAGTTCGAATTTCTAAAACTATCTCAATCATGTTTTCAAATAGTAATCCTAAGTTCAAATTTAAGAAATTCAGCTCTATCTGTTCACCAATTTTTCCGTACTTTCCATACCCATACTCCAAAACTATCTGTATCCTACACTTCGACAGTAATATTAGTTGGGACTTTCAGGATTTCCGTTCTATCCGTTCACCAATGTCAAAATTGTATCAAATTTAGTAATTTTCGTACCCATATGTAAGAATTTCCAAAACTACCTCAGTCATGAACTCAAATAATATAATTTTAAGTCCACATTTGAAGATTTCAGCCCTCTCCGTTCACCAACATCCAAATTGTACCAAATTTAATACCATTACTTTTACTTTTCGTATACGTAAGTACAATTTTCCAAAACATCCTCAGTTTTACACTCCAACAGTCATTTTAATCATAGATTTCAGGATCCCAGCCCTATCCTTTCACATAGATCCAATTTGTACCATATTTAGTACTTTCCGTACTTATAAGTTCGAATATCCAAAACTACCTCAATCTTGTACTCTTACAGTAATTTTAATTTAATTTTTTCAGTTTACTCAAATCTAAATTGTACCATTTAGTACAAATAATTACGAATTTTCTAAACTACCATCATATCTCAATCCTGCACTCCAACAGTAATGTTAATTCCAAATTTCAGGATCACAGCGCTATCCGTTCACACAAATTCAAATTACTTACTTACTTAGCTGGCTTGTTACAGAATGGTTGTTCCATAAGCCGAGCTTAAAAAAGATTTCCAAGCGTGTCGGTCTTGCGCACAAATCCACCAATTTGAAAGACCACGTTCCAAGTTGTTGTTTCCTACTTGGTCTTTCCATATAATTCGTGGCCTTCCGCTTCTACGGGAACCATCATTCATTCGCACAACATGGCCTAGCCACCGTAGTCGCTGCACAACAGTAAATGTCCGCGTACAAATTTCAGGATCACAGCGCTATCCTTTCACACAAATCCAAATTAAAAAAAGTAATAATAGCGTCTTGTAAAAATTTCTGGCGCCCTTGTTTCCAAATCCAAATTGTATCGTAATTATTTGTTTCAATTTAAAAAAAGTAATAATACTCTAAATTTCTTTTCTTATAAGAATATTAGCTGCTTCCTTTATTTTGCTGGAATTATTTATTTTTATTACTCCCAATTTATATTCTTATTAGATTACTTCCCTTAGCTTTTCCCAAGTTACCACTCTAATGTACAACACTTGTTTACACTTGTATACGCACACTGTTGTTTTCTCTCTTCATTTTCACAACAACCAACCACTCTTAGAGAGACTGTTGAAAAATACTACAACTCAAGTAGTCTATAAATATCTAACCGTTATTGGATAGTGAATGTATCCACAATAACTAACAGTCTAGTATACAACTCTGGATAATTTTGGTGCGTTTTTAGGGGTTAAAAATGTTTGTGGTTACTTTTAAGGCAACGACAACAACAACGACGAACGACAAGAGTATTGAGATAAGGACACAAGAAGAGAACACACACTACTAACCGTTAAAAGTCAAATTGCTTTACACTCTCCAGTTTAGTCACTCACCAACAACTAACTAGTGAACAGCAGCAGCAGCAGCGGTAGTTGTCAAAGCAGCAAGAGCTTGCAAGCATAATATTGAAAATCGTTGCGTTCAAACGGTAACAAACCCTCCTCGAAGGGGGTTAGTAGAAGCAAATCGAAAAGCAAAGAAACACACAGTTGAAAAACGTATCGGCCGCCGGAGGACAAAAATAACTGTGTTAGCAAAGAAAAATCAATAAAAAAAGTATAAAATATTTATATAAAAAATTTAATTTCCTTGCAAAAAATAAGAAATTTTAATAAAAAAAGAAAATAATGTAAAGAAAAAAAGAAAGGGAAATGTGTGCTTAATTAAATAAGAAACAAAAAAAGCAGAAAAAATAGCCTTCAAACAAGAAAAGGAAAATTTATTATTATTACCATTAAAAAGCAAAAAAAAAAGAAAGGAAGAAAAAAATCCTGCAAAATATATGTACGTTGTTGGTGAACAAACATATCCACACATACACACACATGTATATTGTGTACATGTGCAGTTTATGTTGTCATATTGTATGTGTGTATATGTCTGTTTGTCTTCAGTGTGAGTGAGTGTGTGTGGTTGGGGAGTGTAACACCCCAATAAGAAGAAGAGGAAAAATTAAAAAAAAACATTTTTTGTTTGAAATACCCAATGTAACAAGTTAATAGCCTTGCTGGCTATACCTACAGAAATATATAAATTTTTTTAATAGTTGTTTTAATTCCATTTTCTACTGTCTCTCTTCTTTTTTTCCCATAAAAAAAAATAATAATAAAATAAAGCAGTTAAAAAAAACATCACCCCCTAGAGGAAAAAAATAAAATAAAAGTAAATAAAATTTCGTTGATTAAATAACAATCATTTGGCAATACGACAATTGGCTATGCTTTCGATTACATTCTGAGCAATTAACAACCAACCAACCGACGACCCAGTGTTAACTAACTAATCGTTAATCGTGTGCTGTGGTGTTGTCATAAAATACAACCCTGTGCGAAATCAATGACATCCTTTTGATTATTCGTTCGTTTTGTTGTTTCCTTTCCTCTTCTACGCAACGCAACGGCAACAACACCAACAAATAACGGTCACAGCAAACAACTTCCACTGAGAGCAACAACAACAAGAACAACAACTCAACGAGTGATGGCGAAAAATTAACAGTTTACATTCTTCACTGGTATTTCTTTTGTTTGTTGTTGTTGTGGTCGCCGCTGCCGCCGTTTCTGACGCAGTCGTCGTCGTCGCTGCTGCTGGTGCCTGCTGACTGATTACATTCTACATTCACACCCCTAATCAACAGCAGAGCAAAAAGTGGAAGTGGATGGAGCAAACCAGGACACACACACGCACGCACCACTAATACACAATTCACCAACCGAAGAAGAAGAAGCAGCAGCAACAACAGCAGCAGCCACAGCCACAAGAAGAAAATTTCTGTGAACCGTAAATATATCGTATCCAATAAGATTCTTACTTTCCAATTTAATCTAAAACCAAAATACAACTACATTTTATTGGACCAAGAGCAAGAACAAGAACAAAAACAAACGAAACGACGAAATCCAATTGCGGATTTCCGTATTTGTTTTTTCATTCTAAAAGCTAATCAGAAGTTCATGAATGAAAGCGAACGAACAAATGTAATTGTATTTTGGCACAACTTTATTTTTTTACTGTTATTCTTTTTGTAGCTCGGTGTGTTTGTTTTTGTGCAAACAAACCAACACACTAACACAAGCACGCACGCACGTACGTACACACACTCAATTCGTTATAATAACGAAGTTAAATACAATTTTTGGTTTGGTTTATAAAATTCTTTTTTTCGGTTTTGTTAATTCGGTTGGTTTTAATTCTTCTTCTTCTACAACTTATTTACTTATTGTTTTGCATTGAATTGCTGTTTTAAAAATTATATATAAATATATGTGTATGTATGTATTCGTGTTACAGCTACTATACTACGCGCTGCCTAGCTTGCTGGTTGATTGACTGGTAGATCGTCGTCGTCGTCACCAAGGCCAGTCAACTTACATTCTAGACCATGATTGATCCCAGTTCCAGCGAAGATGAGGGTGATGATGATTCCACTGTCCCAATCCAGCCACCGGCCAAGGGTCGTCTGGCCGCCGGTACTCTACCCACCAAACCGAAAGTTATCACAGCAGCAGCACCAGCTGCCGACACCAGCAAACCTGTCGTGGGTGCGGCCAGACAAAACGGTGACATACCCCACAAGGCCTCCGATAGTCTCGACAAATCGCCGGGACCTGCATCGCTCGCAGCAACTAGTGTGGCTAGCAAAAATGAGCTAACTGCCAATGATTCTTCCGGTGCTGTTGGTGGCGGAGCCAGCGGTGGTGTAGGTGGTGGTGCTGCCGGCAGCATCTCCCAGGAAACTCTCAATCAAAGTGCCGGGTCGTCGTCGCGCGGCAACTCTCTGCCGCGTCCCATATCACCGTCCCCATCAGTGGCCAGTGACAAATATGAATCGGGCGGTCAGCAAAAGCCAGGTATTGAGGAAGAGGAGCGCAAGAAACGCATACAGCTGTATGTATTCGTTTCGCGTTGCATAGCATATCCATTTAATGCTAAACAACCCACAGACATGACAAAGCGACAGCCCAAAGTGACGAAACAACAATTGGACTCGATTACGCAACGATTTCAGGCATTCCTCAAGGGCGAAACCCAAATCATGGCCGACGAGGCCTTCCGCAATGCAGTACAAAGCTATCACGACGTGTTCTTGAAATCGGATCGCGTCCTCAAGATGGTGCAGCAGGGCTCGTGTTCGATACAAGATTTTACCGAAGTGTTTCGCAAGAATATCGAAAAGCGGGTACGGTCATTGCCCGAAATTGATGGACTGAGCAAAGACACCGTTCTGACATCGTGGATGGCCAAATTCGATGTGATCTTAAAGGGCACCGGGGAGGAGGATTCCAAGAAACCGGCTCGGTTGCAACAGTCTCTCAATTCCGAATTAATTCTTTCGAAGGAGCAACTGTACGACATGTTCCAACAGATTCTGAGCATTCGCAAGTTCGAGCATCAAATTCTCTTCAATGCCTTAATGTTGGACTCGGCCGACGAACAGGCGGCCGCCATACGGCGTGAGCTGGACGGCCGCATGCAAAGGGTAAATGAAATGGAGAAGAATCGCAAGCTGATGCCAAAGTTTGTCCTCAAGGAGATGGAGTCGCTCTACATCGAGGAGTTGAAGTCCTCCATCAATCTGCTGATGGCCAATTTGGAATCTCTGCCCGTTACCAAGGGTAACATGGACAGTAAATATGGCTTGCAAAAGCTGAAGCGCTACAATCATAGCACGCCATCATTTTTGAAAATGATTTTGCGTTCTCACGGATCTCTCTCCAAGCTGGAGGGAGACTCAGAGGAAGGCATTACCCAGCTTTCAAAATTGGATGTCGTCTTGAGTTTCCAATTGGAAGTGATCGTAATGGAGGTGAAGGGCCTGAAATCGCTTGCGCCCAACCGCATCGTTTACTGTACCATGGAAGTGGAGAACGGCGAGAAATTGCAAACGGACCAAGCCGAGGCCTCGAAGCCCATGTGGGACACACAGGGCGACTTTACAACGACACATCCCCTGCCCGTGGTCAAGGTGAAACTCTACACGGAGAACCCCGGTATGCTAGCTTTAGAGGACAAAGAGCTGGGCAAGGTGACAATAAAGCCCACGGCCTTGTCGTCGAAAACTCCTGAGTGGCATCGAATGGTGGTGCCGAAGAATCTGCCCGACCAGGACTTGCGCATCAAGATAGCCTGTCGCCTCGAGAAGCCTCCGAACATGAAACACTGCGGTCATTTGTATGCTATTGGCAAATCTGTATGGAAGAAATGGAAGAAACGGTATTTTGTATTAGTACAAGTCTCCCAGTACACCTTTGCCATGTGCAGTTACAAAGAGAAGAAGTCGGAGCCGTCGGAGATGATGCAGCTGGACGGCTATACGGTGGACTACATCGAAGGAGCTAGCGCAAGCCTTATGTTCGGCACCGATCTGAACGGTGGCCGCTTTTTCTTTAACGCTGTGCGAGAGGGTGATAGTATTGCCTTTGCCTGTGATGACGAAAACGAATGTAGCCTCTGGGTAATGGCAATGTATCGCGCCACTGGCCAATCACACAAACCGACACCGCCAGTTACTCAGGACAAGAACTCGGCCATATCGAAAATTCAGGGTGATGCCGACAAGGCACGCAAACACGGCATGGAGGACTACATTAGCGCTGACCCATGCTCGCTCGATCACGCTGTCTTCTTCAAGCTGCTGCAGAATCTCGCTTTAGAATATCGCCTTAATGATCAATACGCTTCCTTAGGTTGGTTCAGCCCCGGCCAGGTGTTCGTGCTGGACGAGTACTGTGCCCGCTACGGGGTGCGGGGCTGTTATCGTCATTTGTGTTACCTCTCCGATTTGTTGGATCGCGCCGAAAAGGACTTCATGATCGATCCCACGCTAATCCATTACTCATTTGCCTTCTGCGCCAGTCACGTCCACGGCAATCGGCCCGACGGTGTGGGCAGCATAACACACGAAGAGAAAGAGAAATTCACCGAAATTAAGGAGCGGCTGCGCGTACTGCTCGAATACCAAATCACCAATTTCCGTTTTTGTTTTCCATTCGGCCGACCGGAGGGTGCCCTCAAGGCCACACTCTCCCTGCTGGAACGCGTTCTTATGAAAGACATCGTGACGCCGGTGCCCCCCGAAGAGGTGCGCCAAATGATCAAAAAGAGCTTAGAATCTGCGGCCTTGGTTAATTATACACGCTTGTCATCGGAAGCTAAAATCGAAGAAGATTTACGTGGCGAAGTGTCGGTACCGGCAGCGAAGAAGCTAGAGGATCTAATCCACTTGGCGGAATTATGCGTCGACTTGCAACAGCAGAACGAGGAACACTATGCGGAGGCATTTGCTTGGTTCAGTGATCTGCTGGTTGAACATGCTGAAATATTCTGGTCTCTCTTCGCTGTCGATATGGACCGCGTCCTATCTGAGCAACCACCGGACACCTGGGATTCTTTTCCGTTATTCCAAATTCTCAACGATTACTTGCGGGCGGACGACAATCTGCGCAACGGTCGCTTCCATCAGCATCTGCGCGACACCTTCGCTCCGCTGGTCGTACGTTACGTTGACCTGATGGAGTCCTCGATAGCTCAGTCCATCAATAAAGGCTTCGAAAAGGAACGCTGGGAGAGCAAAGGCAACGGCTGTGCCACCTCCGAAGATCTCTTCTGGAAACTCGATGCCTTACAATCGTTCATACGCGATCTGCACTGGCCGGAGCCCGAGTTCCGACAGCATCTGGAACAGCGCCTCAAAATGATGGCCGCCGAAATGATTGAACAGTGCATCGCGCGCACTGACGCCTCCTTCCAATCGTGGCTGAAGAAGAACATTGTCTTCGTCTCGTCGACGGACTACATCGTGCCGACGGAAATGTGCGCCATGGTAAATGTGATATTAAACGCCAAGAATCAAAGCTTCAAATTGACCACCATCGACGGAATTGACTTGTACAAATTTCACGCCAAGATTGATGATCAGCTCGATAAAGCGAATGTAGCCATGACACAAGGCCTCAGTAGCAAACTTATGTCTGTGCTAGAGTCGACTTTGTCGAAATTGGCACGCTACGACGAAGGTAGCCTAATTGGGTCGATATTGAGCTTCACGAACGTCTCGAGTTCGGGCAAAGATCTCGGCCAGAGCTACGTTATATTTTTCCGCAACAATATGGAGCAGATCCGGGGCAAAATTGGCGACGATCTATGGACATTAAATTTCTTCGAACAATGGTACACGCAGCAAATTAATATGCTTTGTAATTGGCTTTCTGAGCGTTTGGATCACTCATTGCACTACGCTCAGGTGCAGGCGCTATCGCATATCGTGAAAAAGATCTATTCGGATTTCGAGTTACAGGGTATGCTAGAGGAAAAGCTGAATTCGAAAGCATATCAAACTGTTGCCCAGCGTATGGCTACCGAAGAAGCGACTTGTGCTCTAACCATGCCCGATGTGGCCGAAGGTGATGAGGGTGCTGTCGAGGATGGTAGAGCCCTTGACGGCGCCGAAGGCGAGGACGGTGTCGTCGAGGAACCAGGGCCACGCGTTAGAATGCCTCAGCCAAAAGACGTTACGGCTCAGGCGGCGGCTGTTACCAACGTGGTGGCCGGTCGCGTCGGTAATCTCCTCGGTAAAGGCATCGGCGGCTTAAGCTCAAAACTTGGTACTGGCGGTTGGTTTTAAAAACAAATGTAGACCAATAACGCACCGATTTGATTGGCAAAAAGGTGGTATATTTACATAAAAACAAAATTCCTTATGTTCGAAGCTGCTGCTGGTGATGGTGATTAGAGAGAGAGAGAAAATTAAATTCGATGCTGATATATATATATATATATAGAGAGAGAGAGAGAGGGAGAGAATGAGTGCGAAATGAAATGAGAATGTTTGGTATGACCCCTTCCATCATGAACACCAAAATGCGTTGATTCAATGACGGTTTACACGAAGGACACGATCAGGATTTAAACAAATATATTGACAGCCACCACACCTACACCCACACAAACTTGAATACACCACATACAAACACTTACACCACCTGTCTCTGTTTACTTCTCCAACTGTAACAACAACAACAACAAGAAATATATAGGCACATTTATGGAACAATATATATATATTTAACGAATAGATACCAAAAAAAAAATTAAGAAAAATTTAAATTTTAAAAACAAAATAAAAATTATATCTACACAAAAAACATATTATTATTACATAAATGAAACAAAAAAACAACAACAACAAATTATATAATGTAACAACAACAACCAAAAAACAAATATTATAAATTATTATTAATAATATAATTAACATTATATTATTATTATTATTGAATTAATAAATAATTATTACATATATATATATTTAATTACTATTATATAAACAATCGATACCAAAAACAAAAACAACAAAAAATATTAACATGTATTGCATTTTGGTGGCAGATGTAGCAGTAGAAATAATTAATTTTTACTAGGCAAATTACTTACATTCGAAATAAAATAAAAAACCAAAAATTAAATACGTCAAACAAATATTCTATATATATACAGAAATTAATTAACAAATTATATATTTAAATTAAAATTAATAAATAACGACAACAACAACTAAACAAAAAATTATACCAAAGATTAAATAACAAAAACAAATGCTTATTCCAATACCAAAAAATAAAAATAAATAATTAAATAAATAAATTGAAAAAATATAACAAATAAACAAAAGAAATATATAAAAATATAACACCACAAAGTAAAAAAGAAAACAAAAAAACACAATCTCTCTTTCTTCATTCATTATTTATTTCATTCACTTCAATTTGGCCCAAAAAAAAAACTATGCAGTGATAACCAAAATTTTTCTCCTCATGTTCTGACAGTTTCAAAGCCATAGATTTGTCAAATGCTTTTCGAAATCGTAACCTCCACAAACAGCCGAAACCTACATATAGCTTCACACAAAGTACCCTTACCTTCTTCCCACAATGTTTAATTTGCTAATTAACTAACTAATTAATTAAACAAATTAACAAAATGCATCTTTTAATATCTAAGCAGTTATCAAATTATTAAGCAATATGTTGTTGACAAAAAAACCAAAAACAAAGTATATACATATATATATTTATCTACTATTTACTCCTTTTTCTTGTTTATAAGTAACAGTAACAAATTTAAAAGAAAAGTAATAATAATAATAATTAAAATAATAACAAACAATAAAATGAATTAATTTAAGTTCCAATAGAAAACTTTATTATGATCAAAGTAATCAAAAGTAAATTTATCTGCTCATTTCTTATTCGATGGTTCAGACCATGATGCAATAATAAGGTGATATTTTTTGTTTTTGTCTCGACCAACTGTCAAAATTTTCCTTATAATATTTCACATGGTTGGCAACATTGCACATCGAATTCAAGTAGAAATTACGCACTTTGACAGTTAATCGAGTCATCAGCTGAGCTAAATTTATTGTGCCATGGTCCAGACAAAGATTTATTAATAAGGTCACATAGCAAGCGATAGACAGCTGTTTTTCTCATAATGAATATCTATTCACAATAATGGATTTTGACAGCAAACTTGAGAAACAGCTGATATTCAACTGGTCCCTCTGCATGACCCTATTAATAGGTTTACAGAGGCTCCCTTTTCATTCTAATACTGAAATTTTGAACTTCGAAAAAATTGTCAATGACATTTTCAGAATTTCAGTAAAGTTTTCAGTTTTAAAATGATTACAAACAAACATATTCCATTAAATTTATTCGTTCAAAACGTTGTATATTCTCAAAACAAAGTCTCAGAATTGTGATCATCTCAGCCAAAATAATTGTCGGTCAAAGATCCGTTAACCGAGTAGCACTTCTAGTGCAATCATGAAGAAAGTCCAAATCTGTATTTATTTTCTTAATCAGGCTAAATTTGCCATGACTTATCATACAAATTTAAATCATCGTGCGGCAGGGTTCTTTTTTAAATCATGATACTGTGTGTACTGCACTTTTTATTACATTGACTATATGAAAATAATATAGAAGGCAAAGAGATTAAGAATAAAAAAAAGAATAAAATTAAATTTGTGCTGGTGAAAGAAGTAGAATTAGAAACGAACAGTCGAGAAGACAAGGAGAATATATAAGTTTACCGATCTCTTGAAGAATTATTAGAAGTACCACAGGAAGGTTGGACTTAAAATAATTTTTGCTGGAAAATATACCAATAACGATGTCAAAAGATAAATTTTGAAATAATTTTTGCTGAATTTTGTAATTAAAGACCATGTTCCGAAATTTTGTCTTCCACATGACCTTTTCATCGAATTCGTGGCCTTCCCTTTCTGCGTGAAACATCAGTTGGTTCGCTTTTACATGCCTTTTGGGCTCATCATTCTCACAACATGAGCTAGCCAACGTAGTAGCTGCAGCTCGATACATCTGAATATGCCGATTTCCGAAAATAGATGACACAACTCATGGTTTATTCGACGGCGATATTCACCGTCGACGCAGATCGGCCAATAGATTTTTCGAAGAATTTTTCTCCCAAACACTCCAAAAGCTGCTTATATGCTTGCGCAAGTACCCATGCTTCAGATCCATATAACAACACGAAAAGTATCAACGTCTTGTAGAGTGTGAGTTTGGTCTGGCGAGAGGGGGCCTTGTTTCTAAATTACTTAGACCATAATAGCATCTGTTGACCAACACTATTCTTCTCCAAATTTCAAAACTGATGTAATTAGATTTATTTATGGCGGTATCGAGGTATATAAAATCATTGACTACATCGAAGCTGTAGTCCTCTAGTTCCGCAGTTGGTACGAGTCTACTGGACGTCTTGCGCGTTGATACCATCAGCTTGATACTTTTGCAAACTCCTTCACAGTTTGTTCAAAGGTGGCTAACCCGTCAGTGGTAGATTTGCCAGGTCTGGCGCCGAATTGGTATGGTCCAATAATGTCATTGACCATTGGCTTCAATCGTTCACACAGTACGCTGGATAGCACTTTATATACGATAGAAAGAAGACAAATTCCCTATAGTTGGCACATATTTTGTCTTGTCTCCTTTTTTGTGCACGAAACACAAGATGCTGAGGCTCCAATCATTGGGCATGCATTCCTCTAGCCAAATTGTACTAATCAGTTGGTGCATGCTCCTGATCAGCGTCTGACCACCGGTCTTGAATAGTTCGGCTGGTAATAAACAGAACCTGCTGCTTTATTATTCTTCAGCCAATTAATTGCTATACCATCATATCTTATTTGTTCTGGGGTATCTTCTTCACCGGCACTATTTGGTACGTTGCATGTATCTGTCGCAAGGTTTCCATCTTCCTTCGGTTTCGGATTTCATTCATTCATTCCTGTACATCTCGATTTGCTCACGTTTTTATTGGAAATTCTCTCCCTTTCTCCCGATAATTACACTCCTGATTTTCCTGTATACCAAGGAAAAATCAAGGTAGTTTCTGACTTCCACGAGTCGTCCTGATGGACCCATGTTGTATAGGGCCACACAAATTTGTAGAGGGGTTGAGGAACACCTAAATAAGATCCCAATTAAAAATAACTAAAACCGGACGATAGTCCAATATTTTAATGCATTACAGCGCTATTTCTGGATGGGTACAAAAGTACCACGGTTATTGATCTACGTAGGTAATAACTTAAAAAAATTGTAAAAATTATATAAAATTATATATTTATAACTTTTTTCTTCGATTAAGTGTGATAATACCTCAAAATTTGATCCAAATGTCTCCATTTTGAAAAATTTTACAGTATTTTTATTTAAAAAAAAGGTACAAATGTACCCGGTTATTGACCGTGAAGTGAAGCTGACTGACAAATAATTTGATGTATCGCTGTACTGTCCTCTTCTCTAAGCTAAAATTCCATAGCGTATACGTCACGTTAATGCAGTTCACAAATCCAGTGTGTTATATATATATATATATTTGAGGCATACGCTATGAAATTGATATTTGAGATCGAGTGGGTTTCGTAAATCTAATAGCATTTTAAGGGGGCCCTCCCATTCTCGGTGTCAACAATTTTTTTTCAATTAATTCGAATCCACTCTAATTCTGGAATGTCCCTACAAAGTGAAAATCTCAAGAACTCTTGAAGATATAGCCGATTTATTGTGTCAGCATCATCAAGTGGTGGCAAGAGTGATTCTGAAACTTTAAACGCCTTTTTCTCGAAGCAGTGTTTTACGAATGGCGGGCGCGATAACTCAAAAAATAATAATCCAATCGGTTCCAAATTTTGACACGTTTCTCCGGGATTGTATAGCTCTCGTATGAACTAGGATAAATCCAATCGTTGAAGATCTTCCTAATTTATTAACATAGTTTGTGGTCCAAAATAGGCGATTTTCCAAAAAAAAAAAAATTCAAAGTTCCGCCATTTTGTTAATTGTTGTGCGAAGTCAATAATCCTAGTTCATACGAGAGCCAGACATGTACTCTTTCTAATACAGTTGGAATTTTCGGATTCCGATGTTCCAGTGAGGAGTTATCATGCCCGCCATTAAAAATAAGGACTTTGATAAAAAACAACAACAAACATTTTTTGTGAATTATTTTTTTATGTACAAAGTTACAAACCGTAACAATCATTGGTATTCACTTACCAGCCCATTCAAAATCTTAAAAATAAAAAATCGAGA